TAAATAAAAATAAATACATATTAGTATATTAATAAATTTTAAAATTACTTCATCAATCTTTCGACCCCATTTGTTTTGACAGACATTAAAAACAATTTAGTTATATTAAATAAAATATACACAAACTGATTACAGAGTATATGCCAGATCAGCTATATGTAACAATATATATTTATTTTTTCAGCTCCTCTTTTATATGTCCATATCTTATATAGTATATCGAAAACACACGAGTCTAAGCGCCGGACAGTCAGTCAGTCGCTCCGCCTGACCACAGGGCAAGGGCCACGGGGTACGGGGCAGCCGCAGCAGCTGCGGGCGCTGGGCAACAATTTCGATTTTCGTTCATTTTGTAGCGCGCGTCGTGCAGTAGCGAAAAATGTTTTCAATTTTCAACACTTTTAATGGCCAATTAATTAAATGGCCAAACAACAACAATTACATATAGGTAACTCTCTGTCTGTGTTCATATGAGTGTGTGTGTGCATAGCTCTGCTCATGTCTGGGAAAATTTTCTCGGCAAACAATTTTTTATAATTTGCCGTTGCGAGGCTTTATTATTTCTAGGGCAGCTGCCGGACAATGGACTCCATTTTTCATGATCCAGTTGAAAAAGCAAATAAGGGGAGGAATAAAAATAAAAAATAAAAAAAACAAGGAAAAACGAGAAGAAAAACAATAATAAAAACACATATCTATCGTCGAGCATACATAAATCATGCGGGCATTAATATGCGAATACCAAACTGAAAGCTCGTAGCTCGTTATTTATGCCTTTAACAATTGCGAATTATGATTTTTTAAACAAATGTCAAACGTATCGTAAATAATGAATGACTACGGGGACTGTGAGCCGAGCAGAGCAAAGCAACACACTCAATTAATAAAATTACTATTTATGGGATTTTGAGATACATCCATACACACACACACACTCACACATGCACACGCACACTCAGACATCGGCACGCACATGTGTGAAGAGCTTAATGCACAGCTTGTTGACCCCCATAGGATTACCAGCAAATTGGCGTCTGTTCTTGGGGGATGCGTCCCCTCAGCCACAGCCCAGACGGGGAGCAGCAACAACAACGGCGACATTCACATCTCAAAACTTCTGTCAAAGTTTCGTATTTATTTCTATGCATGAATTATTTATGGCAGTACAAAACCAAGTTGAACGCAACTTGGTTGCCTAATGTTAACGCACCCTCTGCACAGTGCTTTAGGTGTTAGAACATCCAGCCGACCGACCAGTCGGTGTATTAAAACTTTTTCCCCACCCACTCAGAAGGCATTTAAAAGTCCGGATGACTCCGACTGCCACAAAGCGGAATCTAAACTCTTAAAGCTGTTTCGCTTCAAACACAATTTGAAAGAATTGCCAAAGGAAATTCTGGCTGCTAAGGATGACGATGAAATACGTTAGGATAGTTTGAGGAATTGTAAATGGTTGATTGTAAATGGTTGAAAGACGATATTTGTATGATTCTAGGTGTGAGATATAGGTATATAGAAAGACAGTTAGGTAAAAGAATGCCAAGATAAGATTATGTCTGTTGAGGGTGTTGAAATACCCTAAGAGTAGAGCTACTATTGCTGAAAGAGCTGTGATCGCTATAGTTATAAAATACTATGTGCTGAAGGATGCTAATTGTAACTAGGTGAATTAGTTTCTTAAGAGATAGATAATGATAAACATATCGCATATGTTGATTGAAGAGCTCTAGTTGCTATAGTTGATATAAGACCACATGATAAAAGTGATAATAGTGCTGCTACTTATAATGAATATAAAATCTTTATTTATATGACATTTGATAGATAGATAGATAGATAGATAGATAGATAGATAGATATATAGATACATACATAGATACATAGAAAGATATTTTTACAGACGAATACGAAATACTTTAGGATAAAGTTGTTAAAAGAGCTCAAGTACAATTATGCTGACAGAAATAATCAATATAAATCTACAGAGATCTATTGTACAGCTCACAGATGACAATCACACAGGCCTACGCATCGAGCGGGGCCTGAAAGTCGAGTATGCTGAAACCTCTTTGACTTTTCAGAATTCGATACGAAAGTAAATGTCCAATAATTATATTTATATTTTATTCAAATATGTTTATAGCCTTCTATACACAACTGATTTGCCTTGGTGGTCCTCATATTGCTAAATTAGATTAAAGAGGTTTAATATATAAGTATTCCAACAAAATATAAAATATTGCAAATATGTATGCAAAAATGTCCTGCTAATGGGAAAATTCCTATCAACCTATTAAAAAACTTTCATTTAAATATTTATTTTAAGAAAAAGACAGATTTCTTTTCGAATTTCCTAAATATAGATATTATTAGATATTTTAGATATTAACAGAGAATGTGAGGGGAAGGTTATACTGATGACACTCAGTGTGTAGCACGCATAACTAATTTATCCACCCTCCAAAAAACCCTCCATTCTGTATCTTCGCACTATTTACTTATGTGGAAAAACTGACAACACGAAGTGAAGCGTTGAAGAGAAAGTTCCTTTCAATTGTGAAATGAATTATCTAAGGAATACTTAGTCCTTACAAAGGACTGCAAAGCTCATGATAAATACAAATTGATGCTTGAGACACAAGTAAATGAAATTCCTTTCAACATTTGCTAGATTCCTCACATAGCTCTTAGCAATTTTTGCAGCTCTTTCAAGTGCAATCAAGTGCTATTTATACTGAAATATTTTCACAATCTCTGAAAAAGAGTGTCCAAGCTCGGTCAAAAGAATAACCAAATCAAAAACAAGATAAAAATAATCATATAATAAATGTCTGCCCTAGAGACTTGAGACCTGAGTGAATATATTGCATATATTTGTACAATTTAAAAATGTAATGAAATATATTTGAATTTAAAGAACACAAATGACCCAGGTGACTATATACATATAGTATATTCCGACTGTATTCCAGCTCCATTCCCTATTCCGGCAATGCGCTGCTATCAGAGATGTTGCCGAGTGTATCAAAACTAAAGTGTGCAATGAAAACTTTTGCGAATTGCGTCAAAGATTCTTTGAGAAAACTTTTGCACCTGCCACGCGCCGCTAGCACCAAGAGTGAAAGAGATAGAGAGAGAGACAGGGAGAGGGGGAGAGTCCACCAAGCTGAATGTGGCAATCAAAGAACGAATTAGAGGACAACAAGTGGCTGACAAAAGGCGCAAAGAGTTCTTGTCAGCATATGGATGAACACGAAACACTCGAGCACTCGAATCTCTGCCCCTCCCCGCAGTCCACGCTCAAGCATTGTCTTTTTTTTTGTTGTTGAGTTTTCCCTCTTCTGATATTACAGGGTATGAGAGCTAAAAATTTGACAGGGTTTTTGTTTGCCAACAGTGTGTGTTTGTGTGTGTGTGTGTGGGTGCGGGGGCGTGTTAACGGGGCGTTGCTGTGGCCAGCAATTAAATAAAGGCTCAAAAAGCACTACAAAGCCAAAAAGAGTAAAAGCCGACGAGTGGGTTGGCACGACTGCGTGGGGGGCGTGGCAACGGAACAACATTAAAGGAGACCAAATTGAAGTGGCAGCATTTGTCACTGACAGACGTTGGGGCTCACAAAAAGCGAAAACGAAGGGGGGAAAAATAAACGAATATTATAAAGGGCGAGTCAGAATGTGGCAAACGGGCATACACGATTGTATGCCACAGGGTCATTGTTAAATATCTACAGTTTGTATTTTTCTATATCACATTTAAAAAATTGATGTACTCTACTCTACTCTCTACTCTAGCTATATGATAAATGGAACACTTTGTACTCTAGCCTAGCTCCAAGTTCATGTTGGAAAATCTTACTGGCAAACAAATATGGCCGCTTTACACTCTGAGCGCGCTTAAGAAAACTCGTCAGGAAACTGGCGACAGCTGCCTCAAAAGATGATTCAATTATAGCCCAGGCAATCTGCTTTGCCAATGGAAATGACATTGGCAATCGAATTCATATTATAACGGCAACAGGTGCAAAACACCTTTTGAAACGATTTGGTATTGTGAATGCTTAGCTTGAAGTGCACAAAGAGATACCCTGGACAGACATTGCTGCCGTTGTTCAAGTGCTCTCAAAACTTTTGTGTATGCCTAACAAATTTACATATTTATTTACAAATTTTTGCATACACAAAGATAATTGAGATAAAACCTTTAAGCCTAAGGACTGTGAGATTTCCTTATGAATATAAATTTTAATAAATATTGGTACTCCATGAAAAAGGCTTTTCTTGTTTAAAATGGCAGTCTGATAAGCTTAACATTTATATTTTTACAACTCAAATGCCTAACATCAGCTTGATTTTGTTATACCCCTCAAAAAGTTTGTATAATTACAGGGCATTGACTTGGTACTTGAGCACGCTGCTGATGGCGCTGCAGCTGCTGCTGCTCAAGAACATTCTGATGCATATTCGATTGCTTCACATATTTAAAACAACAAAATTCTTAAAGCAAATGTTATCCCAAGACACTTTACCTCGGCTGAGCGTTAGCCAAGGAAATTGCAAATTGGAATGCTAATAAGATTCAAACTAGACATATCTCAAGTGGAATGAATGCTAAAAAATGTTAAATTAAGTTTGTAGCCAATAGCAGCACACCTAGTATTCTGCTAACATTGCCATCGCTGTTAACAGTGTCATTTTTAACTGTGCCATTCCTAGCTTTAACAGTCCTGTAGTAGATAACTGTCCAAAGTAGTTAGTTGTCTCACTCTAGCATATGAAATCACAGGCAGAGATCGATCCGAATATTATTGCTAACATCTACTCAATATGCAGAGCGAGAGAAAGAGAGACAGAATAGAGCGTATGCTTTTTAACGAATTAATAAGACTAATATATGCAGAGCGAGAGAAAGAGAGACAGAATAGAGCGTATGCTTTTTAACGAATTAATAAGACTAAAGCTGCGACTTAAATTTTATTTCATAGGAAAATTTATAATACTCACGCATCATGAGCTGTCGCTGAGATTGTAGTTCCGCCTGGCACTATGTGCTGCTCGCCGAGTCGGCGATCGGCGAGGCAATGTTGCTGTTGCTGTTGCTGTCCGAGGTGGAGAGGGGTCGGCAAATGCCGAGACGCGTTCGGCCCGGTGGCATGGCCTTCAGAATGGCCACCGCCTCGTCGAGCTCGAGGCCTTGGAGTGAGTGCTCGCCGACGCTGATTAGACGATCGCCCGGAAAGATCTCATTGGTTGCCTCCGCAGCACCACCGCGTATCAGGCCACGTATCACAATCACACTGCCCTCCGCATCGAGGGGATCCTGATAGTCGAGTATAGAGAAACCGAAGCCCTGCTCAGACTTTTCAATATGCACCACTGTCACGTCGCTGCTCCACAGCGCCAGACCGGAGATGTTGTCCAGCGACTTGGAGCGCTGCACTGTCGCTCCGGCGACGGCGGCGGTGGCGGCTGCAGTTCCAGCTGCCGTCGCCGATTCCGTCAGCGTTGCCGTGCTCGACGTGTAGAGGGAGCTCTCCGACTGCGCCTTGCTCAGCAGATTCTGCAGACTCTGATGGCCGCCGGGCAGCAGGCTGCGCGTCTCGAAGGCCTCCGGATTCTGGGAGGTGTTGATTATCGAGGGAGCGCGCGTGCCGCGAGCACAGACCAGCTTCACGCTGGCTGGCAGCTCCTTCAGTATCTTGACCACGTCGATGTGACGTAGGCCCTGGAGCTTGTGCTCGTTCACCTGGAGCAGCTCGTCGCCCGGCCGCAGTATGCCCTGTTTGCCGACGGGACCGTCCTCGAGTATTGAGCGTATGTAATGATGCGGACGCTTCTCAATGCCGCACTCGACGTCGACGGTGCCCTCGAGGCTGATCCCTAGACCTGAAAGTTTATTTATTTCGGCAACTAATATTTCACTTTCGGGAAACTCACTTTTCCAGGCCACCCGCAGCGAGGCGGCGCTGGGGCTGGCCAATTTGGCGGGCGTGGCCGTGTCAGTGCCCTTAAACGCTGGCACATCCGGCTCATTGGTGGGCGTCTTGCCATGCTCCGGCTCGGCGACGGCTGCCGCTGCTATCGACTCAGTCTCTGACTTTGACTTGAACTGGGGCAGGAGCTGCGGCTGCGGCTGAGGCTGCGGCTGCTGTGGCAGCTTCAATTCAGACTCCGGCTCTGGACACTGCTCGTCGGTGTCATTGCCGCTGTCATGATCGTGGCCATGCCCACCCAGTCCATGGCCCAAGCCACTGCCATTGCCATTGGTGAGCGGCGGAGCACTGTGGTCGCTGCGGTCGAGCATGTGCGACATGTTCGAATCGACGGTGTCCCGCGAGGGCAGCTCGGGAAAGTCGGGCAGCAGCTGGCCATCACCGGCATCGGTAACAATGGAGTCCGCGTCGGCCGATTTCGGCGGCAGCCAGCTGAGCGTCGCTATCGAGGGCGAGGCGGGCATCGACAGCTGGGACTGGGCATCGCCATCGTTGGCATTGGCGCTGCCGCCGCCCACCTTCATCTCTGTGAGAGCCACCTGCAGATGCTCGAACTTGCGGCCGCGCAGAAAACGCTCCAGCGTCAAATGCACCTCAATGTCCGTGTTGCGCAGCAGCTCTACAGCCTGATGATTGGTCACGCCGGCCAAGGTGCGGCCGTCGACGGCGACGATGCGATCGTTGATCTGAATTTGGCGGCTCATCTCGGCGGCGCTGCCCTCGATGATGCTCTTCACAAAGATGCCGGACAGATCCTCCTCCTCGCAGACGTAGCCGGCCACGGTGATGCCCAGCCCGTAGACGTTCTTGTGCAGCACCACGACGTACGTTTCCGTTTCCGGCGAGTCCACGTATGTGGAGGGCGACTCGGAGTCCACGGAGCAACAGTCGCCGTCATTTGCCGACCTTTTGCCGGCTATCACAGTGCCATCCACATGCTGCGCCCGCTGCCCACCTCCTTCCCCATCCTCTCCACCCTCCCCCTGCTGCGCCTCATCCTCATCGTCGTCGTCCTCAGTCTGCCAGCACTGACCCAGCGGCAATTGCAGCGACTGTCGCGCCGTGAGCAGCGCTGTCGTCGGAGGCGGCGACAGTATGGAGTAGGGCACAATGTCAGGATCCTGCAGGCAGGAGCTGCTGCTGCTGGCCAGATTGGCGGGTATCGGCGGCAGCGGCAGATCGGCCAGCTCAGTATCGGGCGCTGGGGCCATGGCGGGCATGGAGGGCATGGAGGGCATGGCGTGCATGGTCGGGGGCAGAGGCAGTGACAGGGACAGAGGCAGGGACTGTGTGGGTTGGGACTGTGACTGTGACTGTGACTGGGTCTGGGTGTGGGACTGGGAGTGGGGCAGGGGCAAGGGCAGGGGCAGGGGCAGTGACAGTGGCAACGGCACATTGCCCTGGTCAGCCGTATCGCCAGCTGGGGCGCCCGTGACCAGGCCAACCAGACTGCCCACATCCAGGGGTGTCGTCGCCGTGGCCAAGCTCGGATTCTGAAAGAGATGCCGCGACAGTTCTTCCGGGTCGGAGAGGAGCTTAGTTGGTATAATGGGCGCATGACTGGCCAGCGTATTGTAGTCGATGGCCGTCGGCTCCACGGGCCGAGCCACAATCAGACGCACCTGAGCTCCGGTCTGACGAAGAACTGTGGCCACTTGCTCCGAGCTGAAGCCGCGCAGATTCACATCGCCAATCTGCAGCAGATGATCGCCCAGCTGCAGGCGTTGATCCCGCTCGGCCACGCCCCCCGGCGTCAGGGCCTTGATGACAACGCCCGTGCTGCGACCGCCCACCAGAATGAAGCCCAGCCCGTTGCCATCGTTGATCAGATCAATAACCTCCACCTGCGACCATTCGGTGCTCAATACCATCTCGCTGCTGCTCCAATAGTTGCTGTACGTGTTCGCTTGACTGTGGTGGTGCGGCGGCTCAGGCTGGCTGCTAACATGACCGCTCGCTGGTGGTGCTGTTGGCAATCTGCTAAGTGGTGTTGCTGCTTGATTGTTGTTGCTGTTGTTGTTGTTGCTGTTGCTGTTGTTGGTGTTGCTGTTGCTGGTGTTGGTGTTGGTGTCAGTTTGTTCTTGAATCGCTTTCACTTGTATTTATTTCACTGTCGCAGTTATTGTTATTGCATTTCGTATCATTCACCCTTGCCACATTTGAATAACGATTATGGCCCGGCCGGGTAACGGCTCCTGGCACCGCCGACGCCAAGAACGTTTAACGACAACAGCCGCACGCACCGCCACCTGCCTATCAGGTAAATTGACAGAGAGAGAGAGATAGAGATAGAGCTGATATTGCGTATACGCTACGTCAGCCCTTACGTCACGCGACAGCAGCTGCACTCGCTTCGTTTATTTATGTTTACTTTTTTGTTGTATACATATTTAGTTTATTTTGCGTTATTTTGTTTCATTTGTCGGTCAACCACGCGTTTGGAGCGCCTTTTTTTAATGGCACCTTTTTTGCACGATTTCGTAATTTAAATGCACACACACGCACGCTCGCACCCACACACCCACACACAACTCTGAGGCGCGCGCGAATGGTTTTTGCCTGGCACTCACGTGCCACGCATGCCTGACATACACAGCTCCAGCACCACCTCCACCCACTCCACCGACCCGCTCAGCTACCATGGCAATTAATTCCAAAAGTGAGCAAAACCTTCCACTGTGCTCGAGACTAGTTTGCTCTGGCTCTAATGCGAAACAACTCTGTAACCAAGAGACACACACACACGCACACACACACAGAGACCGAGAGGGAAAACAAATTGCAGCTAGCGATAAGTCGAATAAGCCACCAATAAATGCTCACCTATACAGAGGCATACATACATATATGTAGCTCTGTATGTGTAATGCTGCGGCACGTCTAGAGATGAGCTGATAATTGAGCGTTAGAAATTTTAGCAGCCATTTAACAGATACAGATACAGATACAGATACAGATATATGTATACAGATAGCTATACATGTATATATGTATATATATTTACACATATACATCCATACACATCCCACTTGACTACCCGCGGCTTATCTGTCTAGCAAATATTTATACTGAATCGTCGCTTGGCCTCAAGGCTTTTATGCCGAATGAAAATGAAAGCAATTTGTTTTACAACTTTTTATTTATATTTATCTTTTCATTTTTTATCGATGAAGTTAACTTGTTTTTGGATGAAATGGCATGAAAAATGGGCAAGTGAAGCAAGTGAATTCGTATGCAAACTTTCAGCTGAACGTCAACTGCTCGCACGATAAAAACTTGCTCCTGCTATCATTGTAGGCAGTGTAAACAAAGCAGCAAGAAGAAGAAATTGTCCTCTTTTATTGTCAATAAATAAAATATGAATTTCAATTGGTAATGAACTGAGTGCATGCGGAATAAAGCTATTCTATTTGTATATAATTTAAGAACATTTTCATTACAGTTTATTAATAACAAACTGAGAGGCTGTTGAAGACAATTATTTTAAATATAATTTAAGAACTTAAACATGTATAAATTAACTTGAGCTGAGTCTTTAAATTGCCATTAAAAACATTGTAAAATGGTTACTTTTTTATTTTTTATCAATAACTTTGCTTAAATCGATAAATTGAATTGTGAGTTTGATGAGTAAGTGAGCTCGTCCGTCTGTCCTGGTCTATGGACGCAAATCCAAATAACCAAAGTCATAAAGCGCAAAATAGTACTATGCAGAGTAAAATTGTTTAAATATTGCCCCAGTTATGTTTCCTAAAACTCAAATAAATCGAAGCAATCTGTTCTTTTCCAATCAAATATCGAAAATAAAAAAATCCTTTCGGTTACCTAAATGTTAAGAATCATATTGATATAATATATATGTGTAATATATATGTGTATATATCTAAATTATCTAGCCTAGCAACGTATTTCCAAGTAATTTAACTTTCTCATGAGGCTTTTTCCTTTTTTTTTAATTTTTCTTCAAAACCATCAATTACTTTTCAAATTACCACATGCTATGTACATAATATGCCCATGTATTAAAATATATTATTCTTTAAACCCTAAAAGGTGTAGTATTTAATCTACAGTTACATTTTTTTATAATTTACTGTAAAACTATACTTTTAATATCATGATTTTGCAAAAAAAAAAAATAAATAAAAAATAAAAAATAAGTAAATAAATAAAATTGAAATAAAAATATTTGCATATAATAATTCTATATCATTTTTCTATTCTATATAATAATTCTATCAAGTAAAATAAAAAAATAGAAATAAAATAAAATATAAGAATAAGAGGGTTTCTGATATTTTATTATAGAAATTAAATAAAATATAAGAATAAAAGGATTTCTGATATATTATTTAATTTCTATTTATTTATTTTACTTGATAAAAAAATATTCTCTACTTTTCCAATAAACCAATTGGTAGCAATGTCGTTCTCCACTATTTCGACCCACAATTAAAGCACTTGAAATAATATTCTAACTAATTTGCAGCAGTTGCGTTTTAAACCGTTTCCCCATTTAACTGAGCGACTGCGATACTTGTGAACAGTTTTTGGGTAATTCTCGCTTTTGGCCTGGCGCATCTCTGTGGGCAGCTAATGAGGTGCACTTGGACGGTGGCATGATGCCATCATTTTTGGTTTTTATGCTGTGCTGCACCGTTTTGCCATTGACTGCAGCTGTCAATTCAACGCTGATTGACTTTACGTTCAACAAAGCACGGATTCGTGTACGGCGCACGGGGCGTATGATTAACGCGCGCGCACGCTTTTGGTCATTTGTTTGCAGAGCCGCCGTCCTCGTCCTCGACGTCATTGGCCCCGCAATGTGCTTCATTTAACTTGGCTGCGGTTGACGAGCACGCAATTGCGACGACGGGTGGTTGAGGGTGTGGCAGGGGGGGGCGGGCCAAAGCAACTACCATGGCCAGGACGATGCCGTGGACTCTGCCATCCCAGACCATTACACAAAAAGTAGGCCAAGCGCGTTTGAAGTTTACAATGCGTCTGCAATATATATGTATGTGTGAGTGAGTGTGTGTGTGTGCAGTAGGGGGATTTGTTGCCTACGTGTGAGCGTGTGTAGGTGTGTGTGTGCATGAGAGGGGGCCCTGCTATTTTTATATGTCACAACTTAAGGCTTGCTCCAGCTGCTCCAGCGGCTCCAACTGGCTGGGGCTGTGCCAGTTTTTTCTACATTTCAGGTTTTCATTTTCATTTTATTGCCACTGGCCGCTGTTGCTTCTAACGCACTTCAAAACGCTGACCCACTAAGCATTATTAGCCGGCGCAGCGTTTTCGCCCGCTCAAGTCAAGTGTCAAAAATCGATAAATGGCGCAAAAATATAAAAAGAAAGTGTGGGCGATATACACACACACACACACATATAAACATGTATGTATGTATATGTATATGTTTAGCTACTGAGCTATTATAGTTTGGGGGCGTGCAAGATGAAGCCACACAGCTTGGCGTGTTGACTCCTTTGCCACTTTGCTACCTACGCCTACATTGGCTGCCACGACCACGACGGCGACCACGCCCACGCCTACGCCTAATGCCTAATGAATTTGACTTTCGACTGCTTATGCCATAGTTGTTGCCATCGCTCTAGCTGCTGTGGCAGGCTCCAGCTCCAGCTCCAGCCTGACTGTTGCTGTGCGGTTGCGGCCTCGCCTTGTGACCTAGCTACAGCGATAGTGACGGCTTTTAGCCAAATTGCGCGAGCATTGCCTGCAGTTTCTGCCACACACACACACACACACTCACACACAGAGAGAACACCCAGAACAAGAAAGAAAACAACTCAACTTGTGAACTTGCTAACCAAAAGTCATGCCACGCAATTACTTAGCTGAGCACAGCTAGTCAGAGCCCAGCCAAGCCAACTCAAGGCAAGGCAGGCCATGCCACGCCATGCCACGCTATGCCACGTTATCCTAGAATATTGTCGCTAACAGCGCGGCGTATGAGCCATGCCGCTGTTGGTTAAAGCCACGCACACAGCGCGTAACGGGGTTTTTCTATTGATTTAACAAGCTGATGCAGCCAAACAAAGTCAGCCACAGCAATCGCTGCCAATCTCTGGAGCTATCCATGTCCATTGCTGCACGCCGTCGTATGTGCGTGTGTGTGAGTGTATGTGTGCGTTGATGTTAACTCGATTTACAAAGCACTCGCAGCTGTTGCATATTATTAATTAATTTGTAGGGCCGGCTACGTACATTTTGGCCAAACAATATAATATTGCACTGGCCCACTTACTTTTGGCCACATTTTCGTTTTGTGCCCATTCACTCACTTCATAAACACATTGCTCTGGGCCAGCATGGCGGCTGGCTCCACTACGTTTTATTTGCTCAGTTTTTGTGCACTTTATATTCCCCTCAATTGTAATTATATGCTACTTTTTTTCCTTCTTTCTTTCTTTCTTTTTATCAGTTTACGCGCGCATTTCCCGGCTCGACAACACGCCCGCACGCGACTAAGCAACTTGGTCAAATGTATTGCCCGCTGGCCAGATTGCCTCTGCTATGCTATGCCGTACTCTCCGCTCGCACGTGGCGCCTTGACAGGGTGTTTAGATGCAAATTGCTCTCTCTTTGTCTCTCTGTCGTGTGCTCTCTGCAGCGGCGCACTGCAGCGACTGGCTCTCTCGGCTGTTCGGCCGCTCAGCACTCGGCCAATATTTACATATGAAGTTGACGCGCGGCGGCAGTTGGCGGCGCTTGAAGTTGCCGCCGGATAGCATTCATTCAACTTTCCGATTGTGGGAGAGTGCGTAAGAAAGCTTTTGGATACAGTGGCGCCGCTTAAGATGCTTTCGAGAGGGGCTTTCATAAAGTTGTGTTAAAGATAACGGAAACGACAATTGTTGCTGACGAATGGCAAACACACACTTTCTTTCATTTGCGTTTGCTCTCTTCTGGCGCTTGATCAAGGCTCACTAACAAAAGGGAGACAAAAGTATAATTTGCATGATAGCGTTTATTTTGAATGCTTTCATCTTTGTATATGTGCGAGTAAGATAAACATATTTCTTATTATAGAATTATAGAAACAACATGTGTGTAAGCGAGACAATGAATATTAATATTTGCTTGCACTTAGATTACCGCTGTTGTAAGGAGTTAACATTAAGATTGCAGAATGTTGACAAAAACTCATTGGCTGTATATATGTATGCGTTATTAATAACATGAATGCATATGTGAACGAAACAAACAGCTTTGACACTTGTAAGCATAGGAGCATAGGAGTAAGCAGGATAAATAATACGAAGAAACTTATGCTGACAACATTGTCTTTAAATCCAAACCAAATTCCACAAATATTATATTCAAATCCCATACTAAAAAATGCTTAAATATTATCAAATTTGTAGTATAAATTATAAAAATAATAGAGCAATAAAATGCTCAATAATCACGCCTAAAAGGTAAATATTGATTTATTTTTATATATATATTATTTAATATTTAATTTCTTTATTAGGGCTGCTCGTATTCAGGCAACTAGACTTCATTCACTAGTTGGACAACAAGTGAGTCTCCTCGGCAGGCAGGTTAGGACACACAACAAACTTCGTGCGCCTGCTCGGTTGTCCACGGCAACGCTCGAGCCGCACTGGCTATGACGTCCTAATAAACAGACAAAGTTCCACCTGCCAAGGAGTCGTAGACGGTTGGCAGCACCTCGTAAAGACACTCGAAAGTTACGGTTCAGGTGTTAAAGAACTATGAGTCAAGACAATGTGACGTGGGCGCGAGGAAAACAAATAGCGAAATAAATTAGCAAGGCAGAACGTATTATTCGCAACTATCGTAACATAGCACCTGCCTCACCCGCCTCGGCCACCTCCTGACCGAATCGAAAAACAGTGGGCGCAATGGATTCAGTGGTTCAGCTATCGGCTAACCCGTTGTCGGTGTCCCACATCTCATCATCAGTAAAGTGTCGGAAACGTAGCGAGAAATCAAATTCAGTGAACCCAGTAATCGGTGAACGAAGCGCCCCGCCTACGGGAACACTTCATGAAAATTTGTAGTAGCTCGCATGTACTCTCCATAATACAACTGGATAAAGACATATACAGTAAATATTAGTTAGTCATATTTTCTAAAAAACAAAAAATAAATAAATCCTGGAACGTATTAAATAAATAAAAAAAAGCCTTGATCTAGCCGGGATTGTGTAGCTTTAAACAAAACACCAAAATGACTGAGCCGCCGGTTAACTCTGAGGAGGACTCTTATATGGAGGAGTCTTTTGATGAAGAAGTGCCCTCCGATGTGGAGGAGGAACAGGAGTATGAGGAGGATATTGATAACGAGAGCGATACACATAGTGACACCGACGTCGAGGCTGAGTATTTGCGTGGAAATGTAAGTGAAAAAACAACAACAACACCAACTCCGGGCGAGAGCCAAGAGCTGCCGGAGCTGACCATCAAAGAGTTTAGCCTCAACTACAACAACCCACTGCCCCCACAGCCACATGCACGCCGTCAACAGTTGTATTCCAAGCGCTCTGGCGGAGGAAGCGGCTTCGCCCGCCAAACCCATGTGAAGTATGACAGCTCCTCGTCCGAGGACGACGAGTCCGTGGTTGTCACCCAAACTGTGGCCGAGGTGAACTCATCGACACTGAACCCTGAGCAGACAGACGATGAATCCATATCAGTGCGCACATTGATACCGACGAGCGCTAAGCATCTGGAAGAAGGGGACTCGGATGAATTGACCGAGGTCGAGGACGAAATGGAAGATGAGCTGGCGGCTGAGGACGAGATTGAGTCTGAAAATGAATTTGATGACAAGGACTTGGCTACCGAGATTGACAACGATGGGAAAGAAGAAGAAACAAAATGTCTACTAGCAGACGAAGAAGACGTGGATGAAGAGGAGGCTGAGGAAGAGGAGGATGGGCACGGACAGGATAATCAGGACTTGCATCTCAATATGGATCTGGTTGACATCGCCGATGGCTCCGACGGCAGCGACTCCGAACTGGACGGCATAGCCAACTATAAAAAACTGAAGCGCGGTCCTCAGTACCATCCGAATTTGCCGAGGAAGCCGATTGTTGATGCCAATGCACCAGTATTTCCCAAGCTGGAGAGCATCTACGATGATAATGGCGAGGAGGTCTATAAGCTGGAAGACGATGTGCCTCTACCGGGCGATCCGCTCAATGTCAAGTATCTGGAACAGCAAATGACTGAAATGTCTGAGATGATCATGAAGACATTTCGCCTGAGCGGCGGCTCCGCTGAAAACAGTGCCCTGGAGCAGCTGGCACTGGCCACCAAGCTGATGAAGAATCACGGCAAACCAAAGTCGTTGCCATTAGATGGAGAGCCCCAATCCCTGGAGTCCTCCAAGTCTACCCCGACCACAATGCGCACAGAGCAGCAAATCGGACGCCGCAGCTGCCGCTGCCCCTCGAGCACTGATGTCACTCAGCCCGGAGACGGGAACAAGCTATTGATGGATGAATGCGGCCAGGGCGATGGCCTATTGCGCTATCCACACATGAAGCAGACTCAGTCGGCTCGCATGCTCAGCTCGACGCCCAGCTGCCTGCGCAGCGAGACCAGCAGCTTTCACGTAGATGTGCGACGTCCACGCTCAGTCGCCTCCTCCGAGGTCAAGTAAGTACAAAGTGAGCTAGCCCTACTTTACGCATTACAACTCAAATCTGCTTTGCAGCTATAAGAATCTGGGACGCAAGAGCTTCAGCTTCACCAATCCGCAGGTGCGTGAGATCGAGCGCCAGAATAACATTTTATTGAAGAAAATGATGAACGTGAAACCGACAATAAAACCAACTGTCAATATGGTCAAATCCAATACCAATCTCCAAGCTAAGGTAGGCGTGTACAAAACACATTTATATATGTATATATCGATCTATCTCTACATAGAATCAAGGGCCGCCTGTAGCACGCCGCACTACCGCCGCTGTCAACCGCAAGAAGTACCAAAGGCAGATTGACTTGGACAATGATGTGTTGAAGCGCAAGCTGGAGGCCGTGGGATCGCGCCGACCCATATTCAAGTGAGCTAGCTCATTAGCCAGTTGTTGATTTTGCATTGATATCAAAAATATTATAATTTTAGAAATGTTTAAAGCGAATTTACAAAATTAAAATTTTATGCAAGTTAATGACTATTGTGAAAATATATATATTAATATCTAGGTGTGAATGAGTATCAAAGGTCGTTAAAATTTCTAGTGTGAATGTAACAAAACATAGCAGAAATTTAAATTAAAACTTTGGAAATAAAATTTGAAGTAAATGTTAGTATTGTATAATCTAATTTGTCTTCCATTGGGTGTTCTCACAGGGTCACCTCATTGATCTTGGTCAGGAAGGTTTCGCCCAGCGCTTTGACAGCCTTGAATGCATTTTCTCCATTTTGCTCCTTGAACTCGGCCTCATTCTTCAGTTTTGTCTGCTCGCGCTGCTCTATTTCCCTGTATATGACTTGACCAATCTGAAAGGATTTGGATATTCATATATTATTGCGAATTAGGCTTCTGCTTAGAATACTCACATAAACATCTATGGCCGCATACATCAGTTGATTCTCGTCCAGCGGTATCACATGCCATTTGCTCATGCGCACCTTTTTGCTCTTGTCCATTGCCTTCTTGGCTATGAAATTGGCCAATCTCTCTAGGCTCCATCTGCCACCCGTCTCGCACACCTCATTGCACCACACGCCCAAATCGACGCACTTCTCGATCAGCGGCTCAGCCGCTACCTCAGGAAAGTCGCGTGCCAATTTCCGAAAATCGCTAGAAGTTTGGATATTAATCTTATATATTAGTGAACAGCGTGTATTTGAAATATATAAGTAAATATGCATAGAGTAATCTAGCCTAAGTCTCACCTGCTTCACGTTCATTCTAACTACTATTCGGATACTCCCTAGTCTTACTCTCTATATACTCCACACTTACGCCTTTATATTCACGCCATGCAGCCGTACTTTGGGATGATTTATGAGTGCGACCAGCGCAGCCGGGATCTTCTTTAGATTGCTTAGCTGATACACATAGCAGCAGCGCTCATCGACGCAAATTTGTATGACGGATGACTTGCCGGGTCCCGTTTGAAAAGAGAAGGGCCACTCCATATCAAAGGCCATGGGTACAATTTCAGTGTGCGTTTGCTGATCCACCCACTGCCTGAGAAATCAAAATATCAATCAATATATAAATACATATTAATATCTAATTAAATGTAGGCACTTACATGACCTCATCTGCCGAGGCAGCAATCTCTTGACTTTCCGTGAAATATTTGATGGCACCACGATACTTTATGAAAGGCAACTTCTCTGGAATTTCCTTCTCCGGCGAGGGCGTTCCAACATCTGCCATGGAGCGTGTGCTTCGCGTCACTCGAGTGCTGCGGCGCTTGGGTGGATTCTCTACCTCGGCGTTTTCTTTGTCTTTAACCTACATTGGGATATTTCAGTTATATCAGCTGAATCTGCAGTCAACCATT